TCCCTGGGTCCCTGGGTCCTGGATCCTGGATCCAAGTCTAAAATTTCAGAATTTCTGAAATTCTGAATTCTGAATTTCTAAATTTCCGGGAAAATTTCTAAAGAGAGAAAAATAATTGAAAAATGAGCGAAGAAGAAGCTGTCTATATTCTCACAGAATGGAATAGGCGGATATATTTATATGGGAAAAAGGAGAAAAGAGAGAGGAAAAAAGAGATAAATAATAGAAAAAAGAGGGAGAAAAAAAAAGAAATTGAGGAAATTTTCTGGAATTTTTTTTTTCGAAAAAAGGAAGAATTGAAAAATTAAAAATTTCAGAATTTTTCGCCATGATCACAAGGACCCAGGACCCAGGACCCAGGACCCAGGACCCAGGACCCAGGACCCAGGACCCAGGACCCAGGACCCAGGACCCAGGACCCAGGACCCAGGACCCAGGACATTTTAAGAATTCTTAAAGTTGTCGCAGTTATTAATTAAAAAAAAAGATGTCGAATTTTGGAACTTTCGAAATCTCTTGAACTCTACAAAAAATTTCAGAAATTCAAAATAAAGGAAAAAAACAGCAAAATAAGGAAAATTGAGACGAATGGAGATTGGCGAAAAAAGGAAATTTGCAGAAAATTGAATTTCTGTGAAATTCAATTTTTCAATTGCATTTCAAATTCTCTCTAGACACATGCTCATCATTTTTTTCCGAGCAAAAATAAAAGAAGAAATTCTTAAAAAATGAAAAAAAACGTTCCTTGTTCTTTTTTTGAATTCTCGAATTTTCGAAAGCCCGAACGGTGCGGCAAAAGTCTGGTAACACAAGTTTCCCGGGAGCTGGTGGGCGCAGGCACAGTTTTAGAGCAATGATTTCACATCTTTTATTTTCAGCATGTCTTAAATACCTTACTCCCAAATTTTCATGTCTCTAGGTTCACTTTTACACGAATGGTGACTATTTCTATACACTTAGACACCATCGTCGAGGTGACCAAGAGGGGGATGGGCCCAAGTAGCATCATACAAGCTCTTGGAATATCACGAACAACCGTCTGGATACTGTAGTGAGGAGTAAAGAATACCACATGGAACGACTTTTATAGATTCGAGTTTAGGAAGTATTCATTGAACTACAGTCAAATTTTCATATTGATACGGGTCATTTTGCGAAAGTTACATCACTTTGAATGTGTTACCATACTTTTGCCGCACAATGTAGTTAGAATAAGATCTTTAAAAAAATCTGAATCTTTAAAAAATCAAGAAAAAAATGTTCAGAAAAATATATATTTGCCAAAAATTGTACACAAAAGTGTCGAGTTTCTCTCTTCGTTTTCTCAAATTTTCTCTGAGCGAAAATCTTTTTTTGTGAAAAAAAAGTTTCGGAACATATGCTCAGCATTTTGTGAATTTTTGAGAGTTATAGGATTCTTGGAATAAAAATTCAAAGTTTTGAATTTTGAAAATTTTCAAATTTGAAAAAATGAGTATCGGTTTTTTTTTATCTTTTTGAAAAAATATTAATTCGAATTTTTCAAAATTTCTCTTTAAAAAAAGTTTCCTAGAACACAAAAACAGCCGAAAAATGTTCTCGAAAACCGCCCAATTCAATTCCCCTGAGGCTTTATTTTTCGTGAGAAATTTCTCGAACTTTTTCGAAAAAAAGGAGAAAAGAGAGGGCTCATTTGTCATACTTGTCGGCAACTTTTCCTTATGTTTTTGAAGTTTTTTGAAAAAATTTTTTTTTTTTAAATATTCATAAAAAGGGAAAAAGTGAACTGAAAATTGAATTAATTCAAGTGCTGAAAATTAGATTTCGAAATATTTTTAGAATTTTTCGAAATCCAAAAAAATAGAAATTTCAGAATTTCAGAGTTTCAAAAATTGAGGAATTTCAGAATTTCAGAGTTTCAGAATTTCAGAATTTCTGACATTCTGACTTTCTCGATTTCTGAATTTCGGAATTTCTGAATTTCTGAACTTCTGAATTTTGGAGCTTTCCAGAATTTCAAAAGTTCAAAAATCGAAAAAAAAACGTTTTGGAGATATAATAAAACAAAACTTTGAGAAGAAAAAAAAATGATTGAGAGATATTTTTTTATCCAATAAAATAAAACAAAAAAACCGAAAGTGTCTATGTATTTTTTGTTTGCGCACACTTTGGTTTTGATGATGATTGGGATGAGAAAAAAATGTGAAAAAAAGAGAAAAAAAAATGGATGGATGGCAAGAAAAATTAATTATAAATATTTTATATGTTTTCACTTCGCACAGAATTTTCTCTCAGAATGTTGAGATATTTTTCTAGAAAGAAAAGAGAAAATTTTATATGAACAGGAGCAAAAGCAAAAAAAAAGAATTTAAAAATATTGAATCAAAAAGTTTCTAGGATCCAATAGCCAAGTCAACGGAACGACGTCTTCAGGATCTGGAAGCACTTCTGAGCATCCTAATAAATTTATATTTATTTTTTGAGGTTAGTCAAAAAATCATGATCTTTCAATTGGTGCAAAAATCAAGTCTCTATCTCAAAAATCGGAAAAGTTGCGAGCATTTTTTTAAACAACAGGAGACACGTTGACCCTCCGAGCTTTTAACTTTGAGCTAATTTATCTCGGTTACTGTGAGACATATCAAAAAGTAGTCAACTAATAAAATGTTTATCATAAAAGCATCAATATTTCATCAGCTAACAACTTCTTGATATCTCTTATAGCTAATGAAATAATTAGGGTCAAAATTCCCTATAAATAAAATGGTGCGGGCTTTTTATGTTCTCAACTTTTCTCTCATATATCTCGGTTACCGCAAGATATATTAAAAAGTGATCAACTGATAAAATGTTGCTGATATTATGGCAAACATTTTATTAGTTGACAACTTTTTAATATCTCTTACAGTAACCCAGATAATTGAGCTCAAAGTTGAGAGGCATTATTTTAGAATTCTAAAGATAGCCAGACGATTCTTATGTGTCAATAAAAATGTCAATTATCTGAAGTGTGAAATCTCTTATTTATAATTTGTGTGTATTGTCTGTACATGTTCCATGATGACGTATGAAGAACCCTGTACTGTAAAAAAGGGCGGAGCTTCAGAGGGTAAAATCTGAAAATGTTGTCTTCTAGTCTAATTTTTGGTTCCTCAGAAAATCTAAATTTCCTCACAAGGGAAGTGTTTTCAGAGGGGCGTTGAGAATTAGCTCAAAACTTGTACAAAGGTACTTTCGAACATGCTGAATACGAATTCAGCAATATCTCGGTCATAACCCTAATAGGAACAAAAATATGGGCTCTCAAAGTGTTTTCAGTACTAAATTTTGACCAAAAACGTGCATTTTTCGAGCTTTAAAAATCATTTTCCAGGATTTTTTCAAGCGGGAAACTCTTTTTTGATCATTTCTCTATCATCTGCAATATTTTTTGTACAATTTCAAAAAAATTTTTTTTCGATTTTTTTTTGAAAAAAAATCATCATGGGGTATCCCACACTTTAAAAGTGATTTTTTGAGAAATTTTTTTGAAAGTGCAAAAAAGTCTTTCAAACATTCAGAAATGATAGAAACATCATTTTCACAGAATTTGACAGCTCGATTTCGTCTGTGAGCCCTGATAATTCCCAAAATCTGATAATTGCAAGAAATTTGAAAAACTGTAACTTCTTAAATATTGCTCAAAATCGCACGGAATACACAGAAATATGTAAAGATCATTTGGGTGATAGATTTGGTGGTGTTCCACTCAAAAAAGAGCATGACGGAGCAATTCCGAGAGTCGAAAGTTTTGCTTTTGGGCGATAGGACAAGTCGAAAAAAAACAATATTTCAAAATTTCTTCAAAATTTCAAACGCCTTCTTTTTCACTTTAAAAACGTCGGGAATTCATGAAATAAGTATAATTTGTTATTCAGGGGACCAAAATGAATATCGAAAATTTGTCTCGAAAAAAACAAAAAAAAGATTTACCACAGTGGGGTTCGAACCACCATAGTCACTCCTAATGAGTCTCCCTCTTACCACAACACCACACAACCGATGTTTTTCCCTGGCGCGGAGGGCGTATAGGAGAGAGGGGCATAGTGAAGAGAAGGAGAGGGCGAAATCGACCAAAAAATTTCAGACGAAGATTTTCAGCTTCCTGGTGGGGTTATGACCTAGATATTTTCGTCATCGTGTTGCGGATATACTATCAGTACTGAAATTTTTAGAAAATTCTCAACGCCCCTCTGAAAACACTTCCCTTGTCAGATTTATGGCGTTTTTCCGTTTCCCAAAATGTGGATTTTCTGAAATTCTGAAACTCTGAAAATTCAAATTTTGTTCTTTTTCCACATTTATGCTTTTTTTGAACTTGATGTTTGAGTAAACTTCCGGGTAAATAAACATTCCGGACTCTCCTCTTAATTCTTTTTGTTTTATTTTTATTTTTATTTGTCTACCTAAAATAAAAAAAGACTTGGGAAAAAATAGACAGAAAAGAAACATAGTATAGCTTAAAACCTGTATTAGAAGGGCCCCTTTATTAAAAGGGCCCCTCTAATAAAAGGGCCCTCCAAAGGTACCTTGTAACAATAGAAGGGCCGGCCCTTCTAATAGAGGTTTTACGGTATTTGGACTTTTAGAAAATCTGGAAAATCTGAAAAGTTCTCGCTCAACTTTCAAAACTTCTTGATTCTCCAACCCCTGAAATTTCATAAATATGCATTTGAATTTAATTTTTTCCAGAATTCGTGACCAAAATAAACTCAATTATATCTTTTCTGTATATATTTGATCACCTGCAAAACGACGGGTTTTCAGTAAAAATTAGAAAACCAAAAATAAATAAATATGACCATTAAAATAATTTTTTTGGAAAAATCTGATTTTTTATGTTGTTGGTTCAGACAATTCGATTTTTTTTTGACATAATCACTAGAACGCTATTGAAATTTAACAATAGAGCGAGCACGTTATCACACATCCAATAAAACTTTTATCCAATTTATCTCAATTTCTATGAGAGATATCAAAAAATGGTCAACTGGTAAAATGTTTATCACTTTATCAGCAATATTTTATTAGTGTACATCTTTTTGATATCTCTCCCAAGAGCCGAGATATTTAAGCTCAAAGTAGGGGGCTCTTATATAACAAGCGAGCCGTTACGGAGCTTTGCTTTCACTTAAGTTATCTCGGCTCCTGTAGAAGGTACCAAAAAGTGTTCAACTGATAAAATATTTAACATAATATCAGCAACATTTTATCAATGGTTCACTTTTTGACATCTTCCACATGAGCCGAGATAATTGAGCTTAAAGGACAGGTGTTCGGTGGCGTGGCTATTTAAGCTGTTATCTTTAAACCCGCCAACTTTGACCCCATCATCACTGTTCCTGTGCAAGATATCAAAAAGTAATCAACTAATAAAATGTTTATCATTTTATCATCAATATTTTGTTAGTTGACCATTTTTTGGTATCTTTGCCAGGAGCTGAGCTAGTAAAGTATATAGAAACTGTATGGGCGGCACCCCCAAACCATCCAACTTCGAGCCAATTTATCACTGTTCCCGTGCAAGGTATCAAAAAATGATCAACTGATAAAATGTTTATCATTTTATCACCAATTTATTATCAGTTAACATATTTTTGATACCTTTCACAAGAGCCGAGATAATTGAGCCCATTGTGCCTCCCTCCGGAAATCCTGTCTAACCCTTTTCCAAGCTTAAAAATAACCTCACAATCGGCCACTTCACCTTTAAGTTTCCGAAGGAAAAAAAGTGAAAAGCCCTTCTTCACTTTTGTACCTTTTTTGTCCCATCCGAAGCCGACCGAAACCGATTTACACGTTTTGGAAACGCCCCGGCGGGTCTCCGCAGAGATTGAGGATCCGCGCGGAAAATGCGGAGAAGCCTAAAAACAAACATCGTCGAATTGCGCAAACACTGCGTCGTGCTTCTACTAGAAGTGTACAGGCGCAAAGTGGGCGGAGCCTTGGGTCCTCTGCCCGACAGTCTGCGTATCTCCATAGGAACATCAGAAGACGCCGACCGAGGGCATCCTCCCTCCCCCCCTAGTTTTTACTACTACAACTACAACTACTACTATTACTAACACTTATTGGGGGGACATTTTATAATGCATGTCCCTTTAATATTATTTTCGGCGCTGCTAGTTTTTACAGTGGCACATCAGAAGTGAGTTTTTTTGGAATTGATTTTTGGCATATATATAAAAACCATATATGGACCGGTTCTTATGGAAAATGCCTATGATGGGGATAATCTTATCTATTATGATCTGATCGCTTATGATGGCGGGTGGCGGGTGGGAAAAGAAAGTTTCGAGTATTGATATATCTATTTTTATAGGCATAAGGGGTCTTAAAGGGGCCTCAAAGGTTCTTAGGGGGATTACTGTAGTTTTTTTTCGTCTCAAATTTCTGTACCCTAGCCTAGGCGGTATAGATTTCAAAACCTAAAATTCATTTGTCTTTTTTGAAACCTAGATTTTTCGAAACCTAGATTTTTATCTTAAATTTTTCCGATCTACCTAGATTTTTGAGATTTGATCTGCCGGAAAATTTCTTTTTTTTTGTTCCTTTTTACTAGATACCCATCTACATATAGTTTGAAATTTTGAATTAAAAAAATCCCAAAATTCCAGAAAATTCACAGTATGGCGATTACAACCAACGTCTACAAATCAAGTGGAATTATTGAAGAATTTGCAGTTGAATGATGTGAAAGTGAGTGAATTTTTAATTTTTTTTAATAGGAAAAACTGGATAATCTAGCTGGAAAACGGTTGAAAACTTGCCCTAAACTTTTAACCCAATTTATCTTGGTTCCTGTGAAAGATATCAAAAAGTTGTCAACTAATAAAATGTTGCTGATATTATGAAAAACATTTTATCAATGAACAACTTCTTGATGTCTGTCACAGGAAGCTAGAAAAATTGGCTGAAAGTTGGAGGGTTTACCGTACATGCTCGAGAACCTAGTTTAAAATACTTAGTTTAAAATTTATTATCTCGATTCCTGTAGAAGATATCAAAAAGTTGTCAATCGATAAAATGTTGCTGATATTATGAAAAACATTTTATCAGTTGTCAACTTTTTGATATCTTTTACACGAGCCGAGATATTATGAGCCAAAGTTTGTGCTCCGAAAATCATTAGATGTCATTTACTAATTTTTATGAAAAACCATCAGTTTTTCAATATTTTCATTATTTTGAACAATCAGTTTTTTAATATTTTCATTATTTTGAACCAACAGTTTTTCAATATTTTCATTATTTTGATTCGAACTTCGAAAAATAGGAGTTGGACTGACAAAATGGGCTAAAAGTGTTAGATGGAAGTTCGTGCCACCAGATTTTTTGATGGATTTTGGTAGTTTATGAAATGGGAAATTGGATTTTGAGGAAAAATCAAAATTCGTATGTGGCTGTAAAACGCGATTTTCAGCCAAATTTCCAGTCAAAATAAATAAAAAATTACAGCGACGACCCCAAATTTTTTTTGCATATTATGGTAAAACTATGTCTTGTGTACACCTGTGTCAATTTTCAGAAAGATTGATTACCTTTAAATAGTTTTCATACGCATCCGAAAATTCTAAACTTTCAAAATTTCCGGTTTTTGGAAGTTTTGAGGATGACACAGATTAGTGCCACCGAATTTCTTTTTACCATAAGATTCTACGCAAAATTTGCCACTAAATACGATCCTAACTTGAAAATTCGTATGTGACCGAAAAATGCTAGACGCCTGTTTCCTCATCTTTCGTAGTGCAATCCATTAAAAAAACAAGAAGGAGGCAACACCGGAAGGAGGCAGCAGGCAACGAAGAGTCGCACATTCTTATTTCCCCTCTAAGGTTATCACCGCGAGTGCAGCCGTGGCCGACTGGATAGTGGGCGCGCGACGCAGGCGGAGGTTCGGGTCTCACTCGCGTCGAATAGCTTTTTCTTTAATTTCCTTCACGAATTTTCCGCGCCGCAGGATTGCAAGCTCTAAACCCCGCCCACTTTTCTGCGCACCGCAAAACAATGAGGAGAAAGTCAGTACATTGAGGTCAGGTACAAAAGGGTCTGTATCTCGGGATTGAATGAAGATTTTTCGCTGAAAATTTGGGAATGAACTTCTATAAAGTAGGAGAAGACAATCCAACAATAAAAACTGGGAAAAATCCATTTTGAAAATTTTTTTTGTGGTGCCTATGTATAATACACAATACGTTCCACCAAAAGCGTATTACAATAAAATGTGGTCGATATGATTGGAATATCATCACTTCTTCTTCTTTTAGAATACAATCACATCTTATTCAATCAGTTTTCCTTTTTTTGCTGACATGTTACATTGTTTGGAGGATACATTCGGTGTATGTTAACAACCTGTTCTAAACGTTATAAGGACAAAAAAATGAGGCGAAAAAAGAAAAAGGCTTTTCGCTTTTTTTCTGGGAAAGTTTAAGATTTTCTAGGGGTGACAAAAGGAGGGTGTTCGATTGTTTTTGAAGCCAAAAAGCCTAAAATACCGAAAAAATTCAAAAATTCAAAATTCAAAATTTCTAGCTAGACTTCTGGAAATCACCATCGGAAGCCGGAAAAGAGGTTCATGTGATGGTTTCTGATGAAAAAGGACCGAAATTTCTGGAAGAGCTGGACGATCACTCAATAACGCATTCGATTATGATTGATGATGTTCAGAAGTAAGGTTTTTTTTAGAAATTCTGAATTTTCTGAGATTCTTAGGATTCTTAGGATTCTTAGGATTTTTAGGATTCTTAAATTTCTTTTGCATCGAATTTCCAAAATTCCCATTTTCGGAAATCCTCGGTCATGGATGACCAATAAAACCAAAAAGATTAACCAAAGTGTCCTATTCAGAGTGATTGTCGAACAGAAGGAAAAAAGAGACAAACTTCGGAAACAGGTTCGATTACACGATTGGAGGGAACAGAAGGTGAGGTGGACATCCGGACATCTAGATTTACGGATTCTTGGGCTCCTAGGATCCTGAGAAATTGGATGGATTTACGAACTCCCAGGATTCTCAAATGTATCCTTAACATTCAAAAATTTAGGTCCAATTTAACCTTGCCCAATACCACTCGTTTGCTGACGTCATAAACTATTTGAATTCGTTGGCTATCACTTATCCGGAATTAGTATCAGTCCAACCAATTGGTACAACACACGAAGGACGACAGATTCCATTAATTAAGGTGAGCAATTTTAAGCTCAATTATCTCGCTTCCTGTAAAAGATATAAAAAAGTGGTCAACCGATAAAATGTTGGTGATAAAGTGATAAAATTTTTCCAGTTGATTAATTTATGATATCTGTTTAATGAACTGAGACAATTGAGCTCAAAGTGTATGAGACTTCCCACCCGGGTGGTCCCAAGCCATCATATAATTATATTTTAAGCTCAATTATCTGGGTTCCTGTAATATATTTCAAAAAGTGGCCAACTGATAAAATGTTAGTGATAGGGTGATAAGCATTTTTGTAGTTTGCAAATTTTTGACATGTCTTCTAGGGGCCGAGATAAGTGCGTTCAAAGTGTGCAATTAGTCAGCAGCGCCTACCGCTCTGCTCAGCTGCATGTCTTTTGAGCTCGATTATCTCGGCTCCTGAAAGAGATATCAAAAAGTTGTCAACTGATAAAATGTGGGTGATAATATGATAAACATTTTACCAATTGACTACTTTTTGATGTCTTTTATGGGAACTGAGATAATTCAGCTCAAATGTGGGAGTCTTGGGTGGTGTTCATTTTCTTATGAAATCCTCAAAAGTTCCATTACAGATCACCAACAAACGAAACGGAGGCACGAAACGCGGCATCTGGGTTGACGGTGGAATTCATGCTCGTGAATGGGTCTCCCCATCTACAGTACTCTACTTCATTCACCAATTAGTCACTCAATACGATAAAGATGCTCAAATTCGGCAGTTCGTGGACCAATTGGAATGGTATATTGTGCCACTTTTGAATCCAGATGGTTACGAGTACAGTAGATCAAGTAATGATCCGGAAATTCGATTGTGGAGAAAGAATAGAAGTCCACCAAAGTGTATTCAACAGGCCACTGGTGAGGAATAGTTTTCGAATTTTTAGAATTCCTTAGAAATATGAAACATTAGAAATTGAAAAAATTAAACAAAACATTTTGAATCTATCTATCGAGGTTACTGTAAGAGATATCAGAAAAGTGCCAACTAATAAAATATTGATTATAATATCAGCAACATTTTGTTATCAGAGCGTTTTTTGATATCCTTTACAATAGCCGAGATAAAACCAAAGATGGTGAACCTTGAATTACCGTAATAGAAAAGCTGCTACACTATTAAGTTTCAGCTTAATTTACTCGGCTTCTGTGAAAGATATCAAAAAGATGTCAACTGATAAAATGTTTATCATGTTATCAGCTACATTTTGCTAGTTAATTACTTTTTGATATCATTAACTGAAAAAATTGAGATAAAATGGGTCAAAGTGGATGAATCTCAAATTACAGGAATATAAGAGCCGCTGCACAATCAAGTTTGAACTCAATTATCTCGGTTCCTGTGAAAGGTATCACAAAGTTGTCAACTGTTAAAATGTTTACCACTTTATCAGCTATGTTTTGTTAGTTGACCACTTTTTGATATCCTTTACAATAGCCGAGATAAATAGAGTCGAAGTTAAAAGAGTGGGGTAGGGGCCAAACCAGTGCAAGCTGCTCGATAGCCTTACTGAGAGTATTTTTAAAGGTGGGGGGACATGAAAAAAATAATGTTCACGAAATTCCGTTCAAAGATGCCCCTCGAGGAGTTGAACGTGTGGGACGAGGATTGAGGGTGCGGCGCCGCTACCGACTGAGCCACGCGGGCAAAGAGAAAGCGCACGCCCGATTGCATACATAAAGGCGAGGACGACCGCTGTACGCAGAGTGACATTAAGCGTTGTACACCGTCACGGTAGAATGCATACTCTAGCTACAAAAAAACTACGAAAAATCTCCTGTCCCCCCACCTTTAAGAAACAGAAATTCGAATTTTTTATCTCCAAATTATATATTTTAGGCCTCTTCCAACCTCCAACAACCACCTGTTGCCAAGGTGTGGACCTGAACAGAAATTTCGATTGGTTCTTCGGACAAGTCGGCTCGTCAACAGACCCATGCTCAGAAATCTATCAAGGAGCATACGCATTTTCGGAGCCCGAGACAGCCGCCGTCAGAGATTTTGTCCAAAGACATCGGATTTCCACATTCCTGACGTTCCATTCGTATTCGCAAATTTTAATGTATCCATTTGGACATCAAGTTCGAACCTATTCCAATGATTTGAATGATTTGGTGAGTATTTTGTTATTGTCAGTTTTGACCAAATTTATCTCGTTTTCTATTAAAGATAGCAAAAAGTTGTAAAATAACAAAATGTTGCTGATAATATGAGACACAAGTTGTCAGTTGTAAAAATTGTGATATCTTTTAGAGGAACCGAGATAATTGAGCTTAAACAACAAAGTCGCCGCCGGAAATCACCGACAACTACGCAGCTCAAAGGCGCGTCAACTTTGAGCAAAGTTATTTCAGTTTCTGTGAAAGATATCAAAAAGAGATCAACTGATAAAATTTTGCTCATATTATGATAAACATTTTATCAGTGGACAATTTTTTGATATCTCTTACAAAAACCGATATAAGTTTTTTCAAAGCAAGCAACAAAGACACAAGGGCCCTCCTTCTTTGACCTAACTTATCTCGGTTTTTGTGAAAGATATGAGCAAGTGATCAACTGATAAAATGTTGCTGATATTATGATAAACATTTTATCACTTGACAAATTGTTTCTATCTTTTACAGAAACTGAGATAATAAAGCCGAGATAAATGCTATCCAATTTCAGAGATCTACCGCTCTATCAGCTGCACAGGCTCTCAATAGCGTGTACAACACACAGTATAAAGTGGGAACCGGCGCAGATACACTTTGTGAGTTTTTAAATAATTTTTACTAATTTGAAAGCTCAAAAACGCTTAATTCAAAATTTTAAATTTCATTAAATTTAGAGTAAAATGCAAAGAGATATGACCGTTTTAGCAATGGATCTAGTTTAAAGGCGCATTGAGTAGCAATTTTTGCTTTGTGTCCTCAAACGATACCATGTTTATACTCATGTGAAAGCTCTATAAAAGACAAAACCAAAAATTTTATTTTCATAAAAATTAGTAAAAAATGAACCAAGATATGACAATTTTCAGACCCTGCATCTGGAGGATCAGAAGACTGGGCCAAGGGGAAAGCCCATGTGAAATACTCGTTTTTGTTCGAATTGAGACCCGAAGAGCAAGTATGGGATGGATTTTTGTTGGCTGAGAATCAGGTAACTCATTTGGCTGGAATTTTAATTTTTGAACTAAAAAAATCAATGAACTTTTCAGATTATCCCAACGGCTCGAGAAACGTGGGAAGCTGTCAAAGTGATTGCTGCAAAAACACTAGAATTACCCTCGAATGCACATAGAGCCCCACAGAAACGGTAAGGAATTTTCAAAGATTTCAAATTTCTGATTTTTTTGAAAATTTGGAATTCTCAAGATTCTTAGGATTCTTAGATTCTTAGGATTCTTAGGAATCTGGAATTTTTGTATCTTCAAATTTTTTGGAATTTCAGGATTTTCATATTTCCAACCAATTAAAAATTTTTCAGATGCATCGACCATGACTCCCTCTGTCCATCTTGGGCTCAGGGTGGAGCTTGTGAAAATTGGCCAGAAATGCGTTTGAGGTGTCCCAGATCTTGTCAAGTTTGCGCCTAAATTACAGCTTTAATTTTTGGATTTTTTTGAATTTTTTTTGAAATTTGAATTTCCCGCCGATTCTAGTTTTTTTTTCAAACCGACTCCCCCCTAAAAGATCATCTCATGACGATTCTAGTCTCGTTTTTTTTCTAATTTTTCTTTTTTTTTGTCTTTCCCATGCTCCATCTCTTTCGGGTATTTTCCAATCCAATCCGTCGTCAGTCTTTCTTTTTTTGTGATTTTTATTTTGGTATTTATAAATGAAATTTTTGAAAATTTTCGAATTTTCAGATTTTCAGCCTTTCAGGATTTCAGAAACTCAATTTTTGATTTCAGATGGAAAAACTAAATTTTTGAAAATCTGGAATTTCAGAATTTCAGAATTTCAGAATCTCAGAATCTCAGAATTTCAGACTTTTCGAATTTTCGAATTTCTTGATTTCAGAATTTCTTGATTTCAGAATTTGAGAATTTTCGAATTTTTAGAATTTCAGAATTTTCAGAACTTCGAAAATTTCAAAAATCTTGAAAGTTCTGAATTTCAGAGTTTCAGAATTTCAGAATTTTTTAGTTTTCGAATTTCTGAATTTCTTAATTTCTAAATTTTCTAAATTTTCTGAATTTCAGAATTTCAGAATTTCAGAATTTCAGAATTTCACAACTTTAGAATCTTAGAATTTCAGAATCTCTGAATCTCAAAATTTCTGAATTTCTGAATTTCTGATTTTCAGAAAAAAATATTCGAAATATTAAAGAAATTTATTTATAAAAGAAATAATATTCGAGAGAGACAAAAAACAAGTTCTCATGGCTGAGGGGACGACAAATGCCAATTTCAGTCCGATTCGATAGAAAATGAGAAGTCGTGGGGTGGCTGAAAATTTTAAATTTGAAAAAATTATTTGGCGGGAATATGAAAATTTTGAAATTCCAAAATTGACCAATTTTCAATTTTTAGATATCTCATCAAAGTTTTAAAATTGATCGAAATATGATTTTGCGGAAATTCGGAATTTTGAAAAACTTTATTTTTTTGCAAATTTTAGATAAACTTTAGCTCGAAACCAACCATTTTCTTCGCCTTCCATCCGTCTCCATAAGTACACAATACCGTAACCTGCTCATTGCTCATCGGCTCATCATCCTCTCGACGTGGCACCTCATCAGTGGGCGGAGCCAATGACGTGGCAGGAGTTCTAGAAGGCGTTACAGTAGGCATTTCAGCCGCCGATGGAGCAAAAGAAGAGGAAGACGGGGTTACGGTTTCATCGGTAGTCGATTTTGTAATAATTGGAATTTGTGGAATAATTGGAGGTGGAGCTGGAGGGGGCGGAGTCATTTTTGATGGTTTTGGAGAAGGCTTTTTTGATTTTTTGACCTTTTTGGATTTTGAAGAGAAGGAGGAGGAGTCATTGTCCTTCTTCTTTCTAGCTTCCTCCTTCTTCTTTTGTCTCTGAAATCACAAATTTTTGGGTTACTTAATAAATTTTTCAAATTTTGACTTTTTCGAAATTCTGAATTTTTCAGTTTTTTCGAACTTTTGAAAAACCAAAAAAGCACCTTCATCCAGTATATGACACCAAATACGATGGCTGCAACGATAATGATGCCAACGAAAATGAAAATGAGAATTTTTGTCCATGCCGTTGAAGATGATGAAGAGTTCTCTGGAATTTTAGGAATTTCAGAAATTCAGAAGATTAAAAAAATTGAGTTTCTGGATTTTGGAATTTTTGAATTTTTCAAATTTGAAAATTTTAATTTTTGATTTTTTTTTTGAATTTCTGAATTTCTGAATTTTCAGAAATTCCAAAATTTCCAAAAAACCTGAAATTCGCTCACTTTCAGTTGGCATTATTTTTCGTTGGAAAATCCGTCAAAAAATTAAAGAACAGGCGAAATGAATGAATATCGATCTAGAAAAATATAATCAAATTTTTCGATGACACGTGGATTTTTTTCAGAGAAATTTGAAAATTTACGTTTTCAAAGGGGTTAGGTTTTTTAAGACACGGAAAACTAGGTTTATGGTTTTGAAGTGAAAAGTTTTTGAAATTTAAAGAAACTCGAAAAATCTGAAAATTCTGAAATTCAAGAAACTGAAAATATGATTACTGTATCAGAAGGGCCCCTTTAATAGAAGGGCCCCCGTAATATGAGGACTCTCTGTGAAAAAAGACCCCCCCCCCCTGCAAAATGTGTTTTGATATCAGAAAATTGCCGTACTTTTTCAGTGGAAAATATTCCGGGAATTCCACAATTTAATAGAAATTTATTGAAACTCTATTTTCCGATGAAAACCTTTCTAAATTTTTGTGAAATTGGCAGATTTTTTATGAATTTTGAACGAAACTTTGTCGAACATTTCGATGCTAAATTTCGGAGAAAACTGGCCGGAAAAATAGAAGAGTCCCCTCTAATTGAAGGGCCCTTGTAATAGAAGGGCCGGCCCTTTTAATACAGGTTTTACAGTATCTGGAGTTTCTGCATTTAATAAAACTCGAGGTTTCAGAGTTTGAAATATGGTTTTTTGAATTTTCGAATTTGCTGAGTTTCATGATTTTCCTAGAATTTGGGAACTCAATTTTTTGAATTTTCGAATATCCAAATTTTCTGAAACATCTGATATTCTGAAGTTTTAGTCTCAGAACTCTGAAATTATTTTTTTGTAAAATAGGGAATTTCTGAATTTCCGAAGTCCAGACTTTCAGAGTTAAAGGTGGGGGGACATGAAAAAATAATGTTCTCGAAATTCCGTTCAAAGATGCCTCTCGAAAAGTTGAACTTGTGAGGGCGATGATTGAGGGTGCGGCGCCGCTACCGACTGAGCCCCACGGGCAAAGAGAAAGCGCACGCCCGATTGCATACATAAAGGCGAGGACGACAGCTGTACGCAGAGTGACATTAAGCGTTGTACACCGTCACGGTAGAATGCATACTCTAGCTACAAAAAAACTACGAAAAATCTCCTGTCCCCCACCTTTAACGGGACCCAATCAAAAAGCGTTACAGAAGAAATGTTTGCATTTTATATGGTTTTGTAGAACTTTTTGAGTTCTACATTTTGCACTAAATTTTTTTTGAAAAATGTTGAGTTTTAAGGAAGTTATAAGGCGTAGAAGCCAGAATGTCTTTAAGGCGCGGTTATTTTTTTTGTAAAATAAGGAATTTCTGAATTTCCGAAGTCCAGACTTTCAGAGTTAAGGGATTTCTGACATTCAGAATTTCGAATTTTCGAAAATATAAATTTTCATTCCGTATTTCCTCTATTTGAAGCCCACCTCTAATAGAACCCGCCCCGCGAGATGCTTCAAAAAATAGAAGCTCACCCTCTTATAGAAACCCATGGGCGTCTATTAGAGAAAATATGGTAATTCAAAATTCCAGAATTTTTGGAACTGTGATTTTTGAACTCGACAATTTCTCAATTTCTGAATTATTATTGTTGTCTGAGAAAAAAAAATGGTTGAGACGCAGAGAATGACTGTCTGCGTCACCACCTAACATGTGCTATTTTGGCTCGCCGCTTCGAGATTCCTACCGTATTCAGACTGCAAAAAATACTCTCTAACCTTTATTTTTTCAGACAACGATAATATTACAATTTTTCCGAAATTTCAGAACTTCATAAATTTGAAATTTAGAATTGCAGAATGAAAACTTCGAATTGTACAAAACACTGAATTTCAGAATTCTCAACTTCTGAAAATTTCTAAATTTTTGTATTTTATAAATTTTTGCTCTAATAGAAGCCCTTTGAAAAATTTTTTTTTGATTTTTTGAATTATTGACTTTCTGGATTCGTCAAAGTTTTATTATTTGTGTTTTTTTGTCTCAAACTTGAAATTACTTATTAAGTCACACCTATTTTTGTTTTTTGGAATTCCTTAAAAACCAAACTTTAAATCTTTGTTATTTTCAGGTCACGTGCCCCCAAAAAAATCATTCATTCAATTATTTTTTTGATGGGCGTGGTTACATTAAAAATATTATAAAAATCAAAAAAAAAATCAAGAACCAATAATCAGAAAAAATTATCTTCTCTAATTTTTTTCCTGTCAAAAAAAACGTATCATCTTATCATTTTTGCCCAATTTTTTGTAATTCTCAAGACTTGGAACGTAAACATTACGTTTTAAAAAATGATTACAGTCCAATCGGAAATTAAGAAAAAAATGTGATTGGATGATTAAGAGATAGGTTCTTGATACCCGTTCTATGTCGTAATCAAAGATTACATTTATCTGTGAAATCGGAAAACTTGACAATTTTCTATTTAAACTTGAGGGACCAATAAGTTTTGATTTCTTGTAGTCGTTCTAAATTTCCAAATTTCTGAATTCCTGCATTTCTGAAATTTCTAAATTCTAAAATTGTCGAATTCCCGAAATTTTTGAAAACTCGAATTCCTCAAAATTGTTAGTTTTTGATCTTTGATGTTTCCATTAAATGTTACTTTTCCATAAACCCTAAATTTTTAATTATGACTATATAATTAGTCATAATTATCTCTTCACATTGTCACAACTTTTAATAGCACCTCTCACACAGTTTATGGTCTCTTTGAAGTATGAATCCAACTTGAATAGTTTTGCCTCTTTGTGTCCCAAAAGCGTTTTTTTTGGTTCTTTTTCTTTTTCGAACTACTGTAAAAGTGCTTTTTTGGACTGTTTTAAAGCCGTTTTTGGTACGTTTGTAGCCCGTTTTTGGCCTATTTTTGACCAGTTTCTGACCCATTTCGTGGAATTTATGACCTACTTTTCGCCTATTTCGACTTGTTTTTGATTCGCTTATCGTCCGTTTTTGGTCCGTTTTTACCAGTTTTTGTTTCATTTTTTATCTTTTGTTGGTCTGTTTTAAGCCTATTTCTAGCCTGTTTTTGACTCTTATTTGGTTCGTTTTTTGATAAGGTTTTGGTCCTTCTGTGAACTGGTACAACTGGTACAGTTCAAAGAAGGCTAAAAATAGTCCAAAAACCGAACAAATTGTCCTTCTTTAATTTGTAATTTGTTCTTGGAATTCCAAGGTCTTTTTCATTACAATCAAGAACCGGCTCTACTTTTTTAGTCTTTCTTGAATTTTTTTTCTTTTTTTTCTGATTTTTATTGAACTTTTGCTTCTATTATTAAAAGTAAAATCGGCCAGAGAAGACTCTGAAACTCAGAACATATAAATTTTGAATATCCAAGAAATTCAGCTTTTCGGAAACTCCCCTCAGTGACTTTCAGAAAGTTTTCAGAAAATTGTTTGGTTTCAATAATTAATTTTCAATACCGTTTTTTTTTCAAAAAATACACTATAAGACAAAAAACAAGCTGAAAACGGACCAAAAACGGACGGACAGAAATAGGTCAATTCTGAGCTCATTTATCTCATGTCATCTGCAAGATATCAAAAAGTAACCCATTAATGAAATGTTTATCATAATATAAGCAACGTTTTATCAGTTGACAACTTTTTTATATCTTTTACAGGAACCAAGATAAGCTGGCTTAAAGTTTGTTATGTTGAACACCCCCTAATAGGATGCATCCAGCCAAACTGTCAACTTTGAACTTATATAGCTCATTTTCTGTGAGAGATATCAAAAAGTGATAAACTGATAAAATATTTATTGATATAAGCAACGTTTTATCAGTTGACCACTTTTTGATATCTTTTACAGGAGCCGAGATGAATAGGGTCAAAGTTACGTTGTCCCTCTATTAGAGTATTTTACATATCAATTCAAAAAATTCGAAACTAGAGACTTTTCCCCATCTATGATTTCCCATTTTTCTCGAGATTTTCCTTCCTTCTTCTTATCACTTTAAATTCTTCAGTTCCCCCCGCTTATCATAATAATTTATCTCCCCTTGTTATCATTTTCTCGGTCTCACTCTACCTGTTTTTTCTCTTTTCTTCAGCTTCTTTCTCTCTTTTTATATGCATCGAAAAGTGATTAGACGGTATGGTTTTCAATGAGATTTCCATCTCTTTTCTCCCCTTCTTTTTTTCTCTTTTTCTTTCTTTTTTCGACTAAATAGTGTGATACACAGGTGTGGAGAGGCACTGCCCCCGCCGCCGAGACGGAACAGGATTTTTCGTTTTCCCTCCAAAAAAAGGTGAAGACGTGGAGAAGTAGAAGCCGTCACTGTATTCAGAAGACATGAAGAGAACGATGACGTCATTGCTCATATTCCTCTGCTTCTCTATCGTCTCTCTATCCACACAGTCTTTCTCGGTTTATCGATTGATGCCAAAATCACTGACGGATTTTCAAGCCATACAAAAATTGTACAAAAATGCGACGGATCATGATGTGAGCCTTTTTTTGAAATTCGGAAATTCAGAAATTTGGAAATTCGGAAATTTGGAAATTCAAAATTCCAAGAAATTTCAAATTCCAAGAAATTCAGAAATTCAAAAATTCAGAAATTCAAAAATTCAAAAATTCAGAAATTCAGAAATTCAGAAATTCAGAAATTCAGAAATTCAGAAATTCAGAAATTCAGAAATTCAGAAATTCGGAAATTCAGAAATTTAGAAATTCAGAAATTTAGAAATTCAAAAATTCAGAAATTCAGAAATTCAGAAATTCAAAAATTCAGAAATTCAAAAATTCAAAAATTCAGAAATTCAGAAATTCAGAAATTCAGAAATTCAGAAATTCAGAAATTCAGAAATTCAGAAATTCAGAAATTCGGAAATTCAGAAATTTAGAAATTCAGAAATTTAGAAATTCAAAAATTCAGAAATTCAGAAATTTAGAAATTCAAAAATTCAGAAATTCAGAAATTCAGAAATTCAGAAATTCAGAAATTCAGAAATTCGGAAATTCAGAAATTCAAAAATTCGGAAATTCAGAAATTCAGAAATTAGAAAT